GGGGACACTTCCAATTTCGCGTTTCATAGCCATTTTTAGGCAGATGTGTCGTTGAAGCAAGGAACTATAAAAAATCTCTATAGGCAGACTTTCAAAAAGCAATTTGCTCCAGATGCGATTTTCGGCGCTAACTTCGGGTACACAAATCCTTCCTCACTGTGGTGCGACAAATAGTCGTTTACAAGCACATTTGGGCTTGATTGTCCCCTCAGAAGCAAGAATAAGGTAAATAATTCAAAGTTTAATTGAGGCATTACATTGTCACTCCTATTTTAAGGGTAGGTAACGAGCAACGCGGATGGAAAACTGGGAAGTTCATCATATTTGACGACTCATTCGAACATGAGGTAAAGAGTTTTTGATTATTAGAAAAACTCTCAGTCAACCAAACACATTACATCCAATTCAGTTGCAATTCGAAGGAGCATCCTCGTCCTCCCTACGCCTGATCCTCCTGATTGATCTCTGGCATCCGGAAGTCGAGTCGCAAAAGCGAACTGCTCCCGAGGATGACTGACTGATACGTGCAAGTTGATATATTCGGAAAATTATTCCATGTTTGTGCTGCCATAGAATTTGTTTGCGGAGATAAAAACTGTTATAAATGTCAACCACCATTACATAAGCAAAACTAGGGGAACTGTGCAGATTACTGTGCTTTTTCATATTTTTCATATACCTGACAGTATCATGATACTGTGGATAGAAGCCCAATTAGATCAGAATCAGATAATTTCATTCAAGAACAGCGTTCTCACAATAAATAGTATACCTCGTATACGTGAACAGAACAGAAAACACGGCGCCACATGAGGACAGTAAAAAAAATCAAGATCAGGGCAGATCGATTCATAGCAAAATATCAGAGATACAAAAGGTTATTATCCTTTCCACATTAAAAAGGGGACGAACTCTAGGCACAAATTTTTTTCACATACAATACTCAAAATCAATATGAAAACTGGAATAAATTAGATGCAGTGGTTTAGGTTCATCCACAACAAAAACAAGAAGGTGCAATTCATGCGCTGTATCAAACGCTACCTAAGACGAACCATCACACCGTTGGAATCTGTCACAGATAAGTAACAGGGCTTAGTATAATAATAAGTAACAAACCAGGAATACGGTTTCATTGTTAGCGAATGTAGAAAAATGATTCTGCTATGAATTCTGATATTGCAAGAGAGAGGAAACCTTCAGGCTGAAATATGATAAAGCTCTTAGTTAGCCACCAGCTTGAGTTGACGGACATTTACTGTACAGACAAGAAACAACAAAAACTGGTTTAGGCATAGAGCTCAGTTGCATGTAAAAACATAAAGCAAGGAAATGTATAGCTTCAAAGTGATTTGACAGCTATGCCTAGCTGAGATGCACTTAGAAAATGATAATTATGAGGTCATGCATAGATTAGCTACAAAATGGAATTGATTAATACAGGGTAAGAAAGCGTGTACAATAAGTCACTTATCGGCATAGTCGATTTCTCCTCCAGCAAGCGCAACATCAATCTGAAAAGAACAAGAATTATGTATCGGACTGCACGATAAATTTTCTAAAATTAAGTGAAAGATACCACAAACCGTGATTTCTCTAGACATGAAGCACAGCTTACCTCTCTCTTAGTTACGCTTTTCTCGACAACCGTAACTGTTCTCTCACCAGTCACCGCATCTACCACCATACTTCTTTCGACTGAGATATCGTTACTAAGTATCCTCTCCGAAGGAGGAACACATACATCCTCACCAATTGCAGGTAACTGAATAT